ACCTGCCAATAGCTGGATTAAGAATCGACCTATATATTCAGATTTCAGATCATGAATTTCCGACAGGGAGAAGCTGATTAGCAGTAACATATCCAGGATAGTAGTCAAGCAGGCATCTTGCAGGCGACATGTACCATCGAGTTCCATGCACTAGAGGATCACATAGAAATCCGCAACATATATTCCTTTCTTATGTCCATCGAGTTCCATGCACTAGAGGGTGATACTCCTCCATTTCATGATACAGTGTGCACTTGTTTTTTCTTTCGAAATGGAAGAATTCCTACATTTATTAAGAAAGAAAAGATTCTCGACCATCTCATCGCTTACCTTGCGACCCACGATCCCGAGGGTAAGTTTGTGAGCAACATCTGTTTTTTTCAATGGACTGGAAAATAGTACAAACCAGATGGACACTGGTTTTGTTCTGAGTATGAATAAAGTTACAAGTGTTTTATAAAAAATTAACTATGCTACCATATTTTGTCGACCACTGCTGCAAGAACATGTGGCTCTAACCATGCATCAACCCAATTAGTTCTCTGCCCTAGACAGACGGTGGAACCATTTGGGCACTCCATGAACGCTCGCTCTTATTGAGTTATGATGCTAGGGTCACGATTGCCCCTGATACTGTTTCTTCGGTCCCTGCCGTATTCAGAGCTAATCACACGGTCGCTGAGGCTCTCCAGGGTGCTGCTAGTGTACAACTTAGCGGGTAATTTTAACATGTTCCGTCTTACCCTCTCTTTTTACATGAAAATTAAGAAGATAAGAGTTAGTCAGACCACTACTTAATCGTAAAATGATTCCAATCTATTATAAACTCTCTTTTTTTCATGTAAAAAGAGGTAAAAGGAACCATATTAAAATTTGCCACAACTTAGCCGAATATGTTGCCCACCACGCCTGGATTGAAGAGACTGGCCCCGTCCAAAGGTAATTACGCGAAGCCACCACCTGTGAGATTACAGTAACTAATTGGTATTACTACCATATTTGGGACAGCTCACACCTAACCATCATTTTTAAGGCTAATGAGTAACACACACTACTAATCGTGGATGAGGTCAGCAAAACAGTATCACCGGATCTAGGGCAGAGAACTTAATTGGGCTCTAAAACCATGCCATATTTTGTCGATTCCTACTGCAACAACATGTGGCTCTAAAACCATGCATTAACCCAATTAATTAAGTTCTCTACCGCAGGTCTTGGACCCATCTGGGCACTCCTTGAATGCTCAGCAGTCAGCACTGGCCATGCATCGAAGGGACGGGACACTCTCATCTACTCCCTTCGTTCCTAAATATAAGTCTTTGGGGAGATTTCACTATGAACCACATACGGATGTATGTAGATGCATTTTAGAATGTAGATTCACTCATTTTGCTTCGTATGTAGTCCATAGTGAAATCTCTACAAAGACTTATATTTAGGGCGGAGGGAGTACTTTACGAGTGCATCAGATATCCCTCCCATCAATTTGGTTGGCGCTATAGCTAATAATGGTGATCCTCACAAAAAAAAACAAGGGAAGTTGCTTCATTTACCTACAAATGGTTGAATTAAGATTTCAGATCACGAATTTCCGACAGGGAGAACCTGATTAGCAGTAACATATCTAGGTTAGTAGACAGACCACACATCTTGCCAGCCACATGTAGTAGATCGAGTGATAGTACATTGAGTGACCGATCACATAGAAATGTGCAACTTATATTGGTTTCTTGTATCCATCGAGGTCCGTGCAGTGCAAGATGATACTCCTCCATGTGATGATAGTGTACACAGGTTTTCTCAAAGGACTGCAAAATAGTATGAACTTCAGTGTTTAGCAATATAGTGTGACGGCATGCATGCACCATTGAAACATTATATCACTGAAATGTACCGTTACTCGGATTTATACTCTTTATGGTATGTCTCCATAGCTGGCTTTATTTCTATGACAATTTGGAAACAAAACCACATGTCGCTCCCAGGGAGCACGATTTGTAGCGTCTGCGTACAGTCCTTCCCTATAGACAAATGGACTTTGATAAGCCCCTAACCAAAACTAGATTATTCGTCATTACATGGCCCTAGTAGTTTTACCCCACCCATCTCTCGTTTTTTCTTTCTCCAAATTAAATGAAATGCGAATGAGCTGGTCAGTGACTAAAAGTGGGAGAGATGGCAAAGACCAATGGAGTAATGCAAATCACATATGTAGTATCGTGCCCGAGCAACTGCAATATAATGAACTTTACATTTAAAAAAAATTAGATATGCCTTTAAATTAAATCAAAAGGGAGCTAGCAGGGAAACGAAGATGAGGAAGCTTGAGATATGTTGGGGTCAACTAACGATGAAAGGCACATGAATGATCAGGCGCTAGTATGGGCATTCACATCCAAGGAGGCGAGCTAAGCTTGATGCAAGCGAATCAAGAACAACTCGGTCATGTCAGAACTCAGAAGAGGGCAGGGTCAGGGAGATAGCCTCAGCAGTACACATATTGCACGTTAAATAAAACTGGAGCAGAAAAAGATGCCTTCAACCTTAGTGGCTACTTGTACGTTTAAACTAGTCGTCCATCTTACCGGAAACTCCATATAGTAACGGGCTGCAAAGAGTCCGTTATTCCTTTTTTCAGCAAATGTTCATGTGCACACCTCAAAAGTCGTTAAAAAGTATACACATAAGCATATATTTATAGTATAACTGTACAAAATTTCATTAACATATATGTTCATATGTGGTGTACATAAAAAGAAAAATACATGTATTACATGGGACTTTTCTTTGTTATATTTGCGCCATTATTTTTATTTTTTTGTGGATGCTGCAAATAATGGTACATATTATTTAATGGAAATTTGTAGATACTGAGAGAACATGTATATGTATTTGTAGAAAATTTTGATTTTTTGAAACTCTTATTAGTATTTCCATTTGTTTTCAAGTAACGGGCTCCATGGAGTCATCCTTCCCAAAAATCTAGTGTCCCCATCTTACATGCGACTACTCTCTTCGTTTCTAAATATTTGTCTTTATAAAGATTTCAACAAATGACTACATACGGAGCAAAATGAGTGAATTTACACTGTAAAATATGTCTATATACATCCGTATGTGGTAGTCCATTTAAAATCTCTAAAAAGGCAAATATTTAAGAACGTAGGGAGTAGATCATAACCAACACGGTGAGGTTCCACCGCAATGAGCAAACTGCAACGCGCCGCACCTAGTGCCCAACACGTTCCTATAGTCAGCACGGCATCTCCCTCTGCCTCAATTTGGTGGGTGTTATAGATATGGTGATTCCTGCAAAAGAAAACAAGGGCAGTTGCTTGATTTACCACAGTCGCTGGATTAAGAATCAACCTGTCTACTCAGATTTCAGATCATGAATTTCCGACAGGGAGAACTTGATTAGCAGTAACATATCCAGGATAGTAGTCAAACCAGGCATCTTGCAGGCGACATGTTACATCAAGTGATCGATCACATAGAAATCCGCAACACATATTACTTTCTTATGTCCATCGAGTTCCATACACTAGAGGGTGATGCTCCTCCATTTCATGATACAGTGTGCACTTGTTTTTTCTTTGGAAATCGCAGGATTCCTACATTTATTAAGAAGAAAAGATTCTCGACCGTCTCATCGCTTACCTTGCGGCCTACGATCCCGAGCGACATCTGGATTTTGCAAAGGACTGAAAATGAACTTCAGTCATTAGCATTATAGTGTGACAGCATGCATGCACCATTGAAACTTTTATCTCGGAAATGCACCGTTGAAACTTTTATCTCTAAAATGTACGGTTGCCCGGGTTTCTGGTATGTCTCCATAATTGGCTTTGTTTCTACGAGATCTTCGACACAAAACCACAAGTCGCTCTGAGGATACGGTGCACCGCAAGCATCGGTGCATCAGATATTCTCCACATGGCTGCCTTCCTCATTGATTAAACTATACTGCCATATTATTGTCCATTACTGCTGCTAGATCATGTGGCTCTAACCATGCATCAGCACAAGTAATTAAGTTCTCTGCTGCAGACAGGGCATGGAGCCATCTAGGCACTCCTTGAATGCTCAGCACCAGCTCTTATTCAATTCTACGGCTAGGCTCACCATTGCGCCTCATACTGTTTCTTCTACCCCTGCCGTATTCAAAGCCAATCGCATGGTCGGTGATGCTCTCTGTGGTGCTGCTAGGATGCAACTTAGCCGAATATGTCCCAGACCATGTCTTGAAGGGATGAGACACTATCATCTACTATTCCGACGACCTCACCCACCGCGCGCGTGTGCGTCGGTTAGACTCGAGTGGTCGAGGCTTCAGGCCATCTTTCCACTAGCGATTTATGTCCTCCCTACTTCTTAAGTGGGCAGAAGAAATTGACTACGAGGAGCCGAGGAGCCCCTTTATAAAATTCTGGTTTCTGTAGGGGCCTAGCAAACCTATAAAGAGGAAGTAGCAAAACAATATACTCCATAGCTTTATTGGATGGTAACATCCTATATATACTATATGTACATAAGAGAGTGGTCCCCATTAACTTATTTATCCTAACATGCAAGTATGTCAAATTATCATACAATTATCAATGGAATAAGGCCCACCTTAACATGGAACCATGCAAACATGCAACCATATTTTTATTTTATTACATTCAATAAATATTTTACAAGTATAGATAATCAAATACTCCCTCCGTCCGAAAAATCTTGTCCCTTAAATTGATGTAACTAGCACCAAGTTAGTGCTAGATACATTCATTTGAGGAACAAACTTGTGACAAGTTTTTTCAGACGGAGAGGGTAGTAAGTTGTATGTATTTTAATTTTGTTTCACATACTATTAATCTAAAAATTTATATTCCACACAATCAAATATCAATGAAATATATTGCAACCGATTATGCAGCAACGCGCGGGGAACTAGTTCATGATAAGTACTAGTACAAATATTCATACCCAAAAGAAAAACACATGACAACTCTTTATTAGCTATTATTAGCTTGTAGAATCTCAGCCATGACCCTACGGAGTGCATGTTCCTCGATGACAATGCCAGCGTGCGTAGCATTAGGAATCTTGACGAACTTGAAGAATGTGTTGTTTCGTCGTTGTTGCGATTCCAACTCCCTGGCGAACGCCAAGATGCTAGCAAGAGTCGCGGCCCCATCTCCGTGGCCATACACCGTCTCCGTGGCGGCATCGAAGCTGCCTTCCAGGTACATCACCTGCTCCATCGTCCGGAAGCCAATGCCATTGAGGTACGTAGTCGGCACCATCGGCGCGTCGACGCGCAGCATTGTCGGGAGCACCCGTTTCACGAAGCGCACGATCTCGTCGGTGCTGAAACCGAGCCCCGCGAGGAAATCAGGATAGTCATACGCCGAGTAGTTCCTCTCCTTGGTAATGACGAGCGGCCTGTGGCCAAATACCCTGGGAGCCGGCATGGACAGAAAGGAACTCGCGAAGGTCCTCCACATCGGCCGCAAGGCAAGCGATGAGACGGTTGGGAGCTGGACGGCGGACGATCCTGAGGCTAAGTTGGTGACCGCCAGCATGTAGCCCGTGGGGGGCGAGGGCGAGATTAGGAACAAATGCTTGATGAACCTTCGCCTCCACGGCAAGGGCGTCGAGTTGAGGAAGTCCAGGACGACTCTGCCGCCGAAGCTATGCGCGACCAGGATGACAGGCTTATCCCCGTTCTTCTTGCTCGCGTGCTGCACCAGGCCCATGAGACGAGCGAAGTAATCGGAGTAGACCTGGGATGGCTGGCCGGGCGGCGCTGGAGCGTGTCGTAGGTCGTAAGGAGCTCCGAAGAGGGTATCTCCATCGCGGTATCCCAGTGCTTCCAGCTCGTCGCGGAGCTTTATCAGGCAGACTTTGTCACGACCCCTGGACATGACCAACAATCGTATAATTAACTAAGAACAGTCTTCTATTTGTATATTGTTGAAATAAGATGGATATATTAGCCTATATTGTATGATAACATGAAAGATATATGCCACCAATTTCATGCTTATTTACACCCCGCGAGAATCGCATTGGTTAGACAAAATTGTGTACCAATAAAGGCAGTAAAGGAGGATAAGCTACGGCATCTTCTCCGTCCCGCAGAGACGTGATGTTTAGTGGGCGATTGAACTGAGATAGCTACAGGAGGGGGAGTATGAGTAAGCATGGAGAAAAAGTTGGTTGTAATAAACACTGCCGTAGGAGGAGGCACCAATAACCGACTATGTATGCACGGAATATAAGGCAAAAACTATAGCTGATACTGTTACATAGGCAAATTGAACTAAAGGTGTATTTTCTTTTCTTTTTTGTGGGGCAACTAAAGGTGTATCCATGAACATAGTAGTAAATAAATGTTCAACGTAGTAGTAAAAAATACGAGCGGACGTAATTCATGAATACATGCTAACTAACAGAATTACAGAAATAAGTTCACCATAGGTGATGTAGGAATGCTTGATTGGGATGAACCAGTGTTGCAAATGGATAGAGATATACGTACAAATGGACTTGAGAAATGGATGAGTTATAGTTTCCAATGGGAAACCACATAGCATACTGTTGTGGTGGTTCTGTTTTCACATACCTTATCACCAACTTCATGCGCTACACTTAATGAGAAAATTTCAGTCTATAGGATAAAACTTTTAATTATCAAAATTAACTAACAGAAAAATAAATCTAATTAAGAAAATTGTACATTAGCTGTAATTTTAATCCATATACCAAATAAGCTATTGCATGGTGTACATTAGGTACATGCTTCAGTTTTAATTTATATACTAAAGATAGTCTACCCAAAACTTAAGCTAATATAATAACAAAAAATAATGATACAAGAAAGATATAATAACAAAAAATAATGATACAAGAAAAATAAAGGAGCCTACGTACGCATTGTTCTTGGGGGTGACACTGTGGGCGGAGCCAAAGTCCGGCACACGCGTCTCTATGCCGGCTAGGTTGCGGTAGTCGTCGAGGTCGGAGTCGAAGACGAGGCTCATCTGCTCCACGAAGCAGGGCAGGTAATCGTGGTTGACGATGGCCCAGGTGTCGTTCCACAGAGGGAACCACCCCTGGCCCTTGAGCGCGCCGCAACGGGGCAGCGACGGCGCGTAGGCGTCGGTGAGCCGCGCCTCGAGGTTGGAGCAGCTGAAGCCGGGGAGCAGGATGATGGGGTGGTAGACGTTGAGCTGGCTGGCCCCGCCGCCGTTTGCTGGCGAGAGGTAGTGGCGGAGGGGAGGCGGGAGGAGGAGGAGCAGCAGAGATAGCAGACGAAGGAGCGCCGTTCCCATTACGATCATGGTGGCGACAACGTGAGTGGTCACTGGCTCAATGGCGGAGCTGCAGGTGTGGACATGGTTCTTTCTTTCTAGTCAGCCTGAAGCAGATATGTTGGCTGAGACTGCTCACAGGAAAAGTCCGGCGCTACGGAAATATCTAATTTTGTGCGAAAGGCACTCGATATAAAGGTAAGCAGTTTTGCTAAATCTCAGTCGACTGAAAGTCTCAATCGATCCTATATTCCTTTGATCTTGCAGGGATTCATACAAAAAGATTCTCTTTAGCTTTCCTTTTTTTTCTTAAAATATCACTTGATTGGGACTTGATTAAGTCTCAGTCGACTGAGACCTAACCACACCCAAAGGTAAAAGGAAAACTCAGCAAACACGACTGGACGACTGTCGGCAAAGTTAAGTTTGTACCGGAACTTGGCAAACACGGCAAAAAAAATCTTTGCCGAGTGCAAAAAAGAAAAACATGTACTCGGCAAACATATAACGCCGAGTGCAAAAATCTTTCTGATTAATTATTTAACACAAGTTGAGTAAATAGGCAATTTCTCGATTAAATTAAACCATGAGTAAATCACTAGCATGGCATTGACTAAGTTGATGACGTACTGACTCTGATCTAAACATGCACGTACTAAGCAAACAGTAGACAAATCTACACATACTGCTAGTACTGCTAATATGAAAATAATCAGGAGCGGGATAAACGAGTTATACCCTCCAGTAGGCCACGCAGAGGCCGCGGCTTTGGTGGCAGCAGCGCCGTCCTCGGCGACCTTCTTGTCGGCTTCAGCTTTCTCGGCGGCGGCACGGTCGGCGTCGGTGGACATGGTGATGACGAAGGCGACGCGGACGTAGAGGAAGTAGACGATCGGAAGCGAGCAGTCGCGTAATCGCTGCCCAAAAACCTATTCGCCCCTCACCCCGTACAGGAACCAGAAGGGCGTGGTTTCGAAGACCTGCTCTCCCGTCGACCGTGTACGTGGCGGACGGGATGGAGTCACCGGCGGCAGCAGCAGCAAAGGAACGACGGTGGGCGTGCGCGTGAGCAGATGTGATCTGTTCGTGGCGGCTAGGGTTAGGAGACACCGCATACTTATAGGCGCAGCCGCGTGGAGAGACGTGGGCTCGACCCACGTCCGAGTCCGTGACAGCCCATGATCCGACGTCTCAGATCGTGGCCCAGCTGTCAGAAAACTCTCCGTTAGTGACTGGCAAAAATAAGCGCGTAGGTGTGAGCTCGGCTCGGCTCAATCCCGCAACCCGCGGCGCGGCGCGTCGTGGCGAGGCGTGGCGTGGCGAGGCGGGCGGCGGAGGAGGAGTGCGGGAGGGCCTCTTATCTTCTCAAGCTCCAATAGCATGTAGAAGAGAAACCCTTATAAACCACTCCAACTCTCCTTCCACTTCCGGGGTGGGACTAAACTTCACACCACACCTAGTGCCATATAACCCACATGGGCCCTTAGAGATTTTTCAGAAATTGCAATATGGGCCTAGAGCCCACCTCAGATTTCAGCAATCCCCCACCAGATCTCGAGGGCCCATTGTGTCCTCTGTTCCAATTGCTGTTTCGATATACCAGTGTTTCAGTAAAGACCTGTTAAGGTTGAACTTCACCTAGAACAAGTGGCTACACTCCTTCACAACTGAACAATGGACTATGCCTTGAATTGTCAGTTTGGCGTAAAGAAGTTTCACTACATGTCTTACTAGTACTAGGCTGCCGAAGGCTGACCCCTCAGGTGGAGCATATAAGTCACACTCCTGGCCTATTCATGAGCTTACTAGAGATCACCCCAATCTCATAGACTGTGACCAGCAGTCGGGCTCATATAGGTGTGTTCCTCCAAAGATCGCTCTGTAGGATAGCATCTTGCTTTTATAAGCTTTGGAACACATTGAGACCGTAGTCATCCTACCATACAGTATCGAGAGTATTGCATCTCCAACGGAGTGGGTTAGTATAGTTACTCTCCTCAGTTCACCACTGGCTTGTTTTCCCAGGTCCTAGTTCACGGGATCTCCGATCATATAGGTTGGGTTACCACCATGGCAACTCATGTGGGTCTCATACCCATCTCCCTCGATGCATTATCTATCACAACACGTGATAGCCCTTTTGTAAAGGGATCTGCCAGATTCTTAGCCGTATGGACATAGTCCAATGCTATCACTCCGGAGTTTCTTAATTTTCTGACAGCTTTTAATCTCATTCTTATGTGTTTGGTGGACTTCATATTGTCCTTTGAACTCTTCACCTTGGTGATGACAGTCTGATTGTCACAGTTCATAAGGATAGCCGGAACCGGTTTATCAACCAATGGCAAGTCCATCAAAAGATCTCGAAGCCATCTCGCTTCAACACCAGATGTGTCTAATGCCGTTAATTCTGCTTCCATTGTCGATCTCGTTAAGATCGTTTGCTTGCAAGACTTCCAGGAAACAGCGCCACCTCCAAGAGTAAACATATACCCAGTTGTGGCCTTCATCTCATCAGCATCAGAGATCCAATTCGCATCACTATACCCTTCAAGTACCGACGGGTATCCGGTATAGTGAAGTCCATAGTTCATAGTACCTTTCAGATAGCGCATAACTCTCTCAACAGCATGCCAATGTACATCACCCGGTTTGGAAACAAACCGGCTCAGTTTGCTCACAGCAAACGCGATGTCAGGCCTTGTTGCGCTCGCTAGGTACATCAGTGAACCAATGATTTGAGAGTATCTCAATTGATCTTTAGCCATGCCTTTGGACTTTCGAATCAATACGCTAGGATCATATGGTGTTTGAGATGGTGTGCAGTCCGAATATCCAAAACGACTCAACACCTTCTCAACGTAATGGGATTGCAGAAGTGTGATCCCACCCTCATTATCTCTCAGTAGCTTGATGTTCAAGATAACATCAGCCACACCAAGGTCTTTCATCTCAAAGTTCTGAGATAGAAACGATTTGACCTCCTCAATGACTTTGAGGTTTGTTCCGAATATCAATATGTCATCAACATACAAGCACAGTATAACTCCTTCGCCCCCACCATGGCGATAGTATACACATTTGTCAGCCTCGTTAACAACGAAACCAACAGATGTCAGAGTTGTATTAAACTTATCATGCCATTGCTTAGGTGCTTGTTTCAGGCCATATAAAGATTTTATCAACCTACACACCTTTCTTTTCTGACCATCTATCACAAAGCCATCAGGCTGTTGCATGTAGATTTCCTCCTTTAGCTCTCCATTTAGAAAAGCCGTCTTAACATCCATCTGATGGACGAGAAGACCATGTGAGGCCGCCAACGAGAGTAATACTCGAATGGTGGTCAGTCTAGCCACAGGTGAATAAGTATCAAAGAAATCTTCCTCTTCTTGATGGTCATAGCCCTTGGCCACAAGCCTAGCCTTGTACTTTTCAATCGTACCATCGGGCCTAAGCTTCTTTTTGAACACCCACTTACATCCCAGTGGTTTGCAACCATAGGGACGGTCAGTGATCTCCCATGTCCCGTTAGCCATGATGGAATCCATCTCGCTACGGACCGCATCCTTCCAGTAGTCAGCTTCTGGAGAGGCATACGCTTCTGAAATAGAAGTGGGAGTATCATCCACGAGGTACACGAAGAAATCATCACCAAAGGTCTTTGCAGTCCTTTGTCTCTTGCCCCTACCAAGGGTTTCCTCGTCATCCTCCTCGGGATTTTCATCATGTGTTTGTTCATAATATTCCATAGGGATGGCAGGTTCAGGAGTCTCCTCAGATTCCTGTCTAGAAGTGCTTTGCATATCTCTCATAGGAAAAATATCCTCAAAGAATGTAGCATCCTTAGACTCCATAATTGTACCGATCTTCTGATCAGGTACCTCAGATTTCACTACTAGAAATCTATAGCCAACGCTGTTCTTAGCGTAGCCCAAATTAATGCAGTCCACGGTCTTATGTCCAAGCTTACGCTTTTTGGGGATCGGCACGTTGACTTTCGCCAAACAGCCCCAAGTGCGCAAGTACGAGAGTGTCGTCCTTCTCTTTGCCCATTTCTCATAGGGAGTGATCTCACTATCCTTTGTCGGAACTTTATTCAGGACATGACATGCTGTCAATATAGCCTCCCCCCACCATGCCTTGGATAAACCCGATGTATCTAACATGGCGTTAACCAAATCAGTTAGAGTACGGTTTTTCCGCTCGGCAACCCCGTTTGACTGGGGTGAATAGGGAGGCGTCCTCTCATGAATAATGCCGTGTTCCGCACAGAAGGAATCAAACTCACTCGAGAAGTACTCTCCACCACGATCTGACCGGACTCGTTTAATTTTCTTTTCAAGTTGATTTTCAACTTCTGCCTTATAGATTTTAAAGTAGTGTAGAGCCTCATCTTTAGTATTTAACAGATACACATAGCAATATCTAGTGGAATCATCTATCAATGTCATGAAGTATCTCTTTCCACCTTTAGTCAACACACCATTCATCTCGCAAAGATCAGAATGTATGAGTTCTAATGGTGCCAGGTGTCTCTCCTCCGCGGCCTTATGAGGCTTGCGAGGTTGCTTAGCTTGCACACATGAAAGGCACTTAGAACCTTTGGCTAAAGTGAAACTCGGGATTAAATCCAACTTGGCTAGCCGCGTCATAACACCAAAACTAATGTGACAAAGACGTGAATGCCAAACTTCAGATTCATTAACATTCGAATGAATATGGTTCACGACTTTATTACAAAAATCTGCTAGGGAAAGGCGGAACATCCCTCCGCTCTCATAACCTTTTCCAACAAAGAGTCCATATTTTGTAACAACTAATTTATTAGACTCGAAAACCAACTTAAACCCTTCTCTACATAGAAGGGAGCCACTAACGAGGTTCTTCTTGATGGCGGGGACATGCTGCACGTTCTTCAGCTGCACGATCCTTCCCGAAGTAAACTTCAGATCGACCGTGCCAACACCATGAACAGAAGCACTCGCGCCATTCCCCATCAATACGGACCCGTGACCTGTGACCTGGTA